TGTCCTTCTCTGTTAAAACAGTGTGACCTTCCTTTCAGAGGGCTAAAGACTGGCAGAAGTAATGTAAGTGTCCGGCAAGGGGGCAGCCCACAGCAGGCATGAAATCTCCACCCTGGAACCGCCATCACTGTTACATGGTGAGTAAAGAAGATGTTAAAAAAAAAAAAAAAAAAAAAGGCAAGCAGAACAGTCAACATTTATATGTGCTTCTTTCCTTCTCTTTCTCCTAACTGTGGTCTTCTCCTGTCCTCAAAAGAACCAGGAAAGGAACAAGTTCATGCCACAGTCCTCCAAGAAGGTACAAAGTCAAAGCGATTTAGAGCCACATGTGTGATTAACCACACATCCCATTTGGCCGTGCCTGCCAACAAGCTTGGAGCCAAATTTCAAACTCAATCATAGCGACCACGTTAACCCACACAGCCAACAACTGCACCCTCCTTTTTCCTTTTGGTTCTCGTGTTGTACTTGTGCTTTTTTTGTTCGTATGTCTATTGTTGGAACCCATCCTAAATCTTCTTCTGGGATGAAGCAGGGAAGCAAGCCTATAAAATTATGGAAGGCAGGACGTTCTGATGGGTGAAGTTATTAAGCCTGGCCCCTTTCTCACATCAATGGAGCCTCCCAATTCTCACTCCACCCTACAACCCAGCACAGGCACACCCGCAAATCATGATCGGTCCCTCCTTTAATGATAGAACAAATACATAAATGTAAATGCCCACATCTTTCATATACATACGTAATGGCTAACTAGGCGCTACTAGCAGCTTTTCATAATATAAGCAAACAATTAGACAGAATGGAAATAAAAAAGACACAGACCACCACATGAAAGCAGATCACAAGTAAGAACTGGAAGATAGGAACGAAATTGTTGCCATTCCAGCAACTAATGAAAACATGTTTCTGTAAACAGCCTCTGATGGTGCTATAACCCTTCTCAGGACTCAGACTCAGGGGAGGGACCGAATTTCAGAGGCTCACAGAAGGGGAAGGGGCCTATTTTACTACAGCCAAAGGGCACTCACTGGCAGCTGGTTTGTACAGCTGTTTTATTTATTTTAAAAGACACATCCAATCTATCAGAGCTGTTTACCCTCTTCTGCCTGCCTCTGCCAGAGAGTCTTTTTCCAATTTCCTGTTCACTTCCAGGGCTGTTGTTTCCAAAACCAATGATTACAAATGAGAGGTGTGGTCTCACACAAAAAATACAGCTCCAGGTCTCGTGTCCCAGTGAGAACCCTGCAAGCAGGCCAGTGCAAGAGCAGCGCTTTGGTACCAAGGGCTTCCAGACGTGGCTGGAATGAACCCTCCTCTGCCAACCAATACGATCATTTGTCCAACTTAAACATAACTGTTTCCCCAAATCTTATCAATTACTCCCTCCAGGTAGGCTCTGTCACCTCCCCTTCTCCTCAATTGAAGCGCCCAAAGGCACCTGGAGTTTAGTCAAACACAAGAGAAGGGGATTCATCCCACATCTGGACACTAATCCTGCACCGCTGACGAGCCAAAGGGAAGTGGGGCTAATTCAGTAATTCCTTCACATTCAGGGATGCTGCTATGAAAGGGAACTACTGCAGAGTCAAGATCATTAGAGTCAAGGTCATGCGTGGCACGGAGCCAGCATCCTAATTCTTCTGCTAACTTGTGAGCAATGGTACTTATTTCATTTTGAAAAATATCTGCCTCAGGCCAGCAAAATAGCTCAGTGGACTAAATGCCTGCCTAGGCAAGTGCAAGGACTGGGGTTTGATCCCCAGCACCACCTCTAGGCGTGCTGTGCCAGCCCCACCTCTAGGCGTGCTGAGCCGGCCACCGAGACCCGGCATGGTGGCACATGCCTATAATCCCAGCATTGGGAAGGTTGAAAACAGGAGGATCACTAGCAGTCTGAGCTGCATATGGAGACCCGTACAAAATATACAAATTTAAAAAGAAAAACATCTGCCTTTTCTATCTGGTTGGGAGTGTACAAAGGTTGCCCCGCCCTCCCACTACCACCCCCAAACAGATCAGCTGGTATTTCTAACATAGCACATATCTATAAAAATCAAGTTATCCATTAAGAATAACAAAGAGATAGGGCTGGTGAGATGGCTCAGTGGTCTAAAGCACCTACTTAGAACAAGCTTAGCAAAGCACAGGGACTGCGGTTCAATCCCCCAGCCCCACATGCCAGCCAGCCCCACCCCCTGGTGGGCTGAGCTGGACACACCCACACCCACACCCACACCCACACCCACCCACACACACACACACACACACACACACACAATAAATAAAATTAAAAAAAAAAGAATAACAAAGAGTTGGGAGAGTTTAGATTGTCAGAAGAAGCAATTTTAGTATTTTTTTAAAAAGTGAACTGAGTTAATGTAAACTTTATGGGCGAATTATAATGTTGGCAGGTCTAATGATCTTTTAGTTTCTTTATTGAGATATAATTTATATCCCATCAACAGGGATATAAATATCCCATCAACACTTTTTAGTATATTCACAGGACTGTAAAATCATTACCATAATTTAATTTTGGAACACTTTCACCTCCCACTCCAAAATAACTGTAACCATTAGCAGTCAACCCCTACTTCCTGCTTTCCCTCATTTAGTCCTAAGCAAGCACTCACCTGCTTTCTGTGTGTATAAGTCTGTGTATTCTGGATAGTCCATGAATGGAATTACAAAACATAGTTGCTATGTCCACCTTTTACTATGTTTAAGTTTCATTCACGTTACAGCACCTATCAGTACTCTACTCCTTTGTATTCCAAATGACATTCCACTGTATGGATATACTACATTTTATTTCTCCACTCATCAGAGTACAAAATTCAAAGTGTTTCCACTCTCTGAGCACTACCAATAGTGCTGATATGAATATTCCCAGGCAGGCTAGGGTGTGAGTCTGTGTTGGATTTTTCTCTTGGGTACAAACCCAGGAGTAGAATCACCGGGTTACATGGCTCAAGTGATTTTTTTCAAAGTTATTTACGCAACTGCAGCATTGCCTCTCCACGGTCAGCGGATGGAGAGAGCCAGGAGCACACAGCACCTTCCTAGCCCCATCGTGCCGTCCACCGCCAAACCCTCTCTTATTCTCTCTTTGTCCGATGTCACCTTCCACATTAACTCCGCATATCAACAAAGTACTCTGAGCTCTTTACAGCATGATGGCACGTCAGAGCCAGCTGGAATTTCCAAAGATCAATTATTCCAATCATCTTTTAATACAGCATTAAGCTACAGTCATCTAATCCTCAAAGGTCCTCCAAAAAGAAACAGTGCAATTGCCCTTAGTTGTCTATCCTCAGAAATGCTGTGAGATCACCAGGGGCACACACCATGCAGACGTTGAAGGGGGACACTCAGTGTTCAGGCTTCCAAACACCCATGAGACATCCTCAGCTTCTTCCTTCTCTTCTCCCTGAGCACATTCCATCCCGTCATGCGGCTCGTCTTCTCGTCTTCTGCACCTATAATACCACCGCCTCCTACACTACGCTCCCGTGTGGGAGGGTTCTGCTAGCCTTGCTTAAGGTATTTCTCCTTTCCTCCAGTAGTCTTATTGAATTTATTTTCAGAGTCAACAACAGAGCCGCACAATTTAACATCAAGAATTTGGGGCTGATGCTGCTTCTGTAACAGCCTGGACTTTCTTTTCCTTCCTCAGTTCCTCTGAGAGAAGCATATATAAGAAGAGTAATTATTGCTGCTGAAGAATTGCTGGAGTCAGCAGCGCCTCATAGGAACTGCATTTCCTCCTCCTCTCCTCCCTTCCCTCCCACCCCAAACTCCCCCATAAGTTAAGAATTAAAGATGCATTAGGGGGATAAAGAAATCTGACCTGAAATATGTGCTGCAGCAACAGTGGCAAGCAACCAAGAGTATTAACAATAATTTCCAGCGGAGCTAGAAAGGTTAGATGATCTGTCTTTGAAATGAGCCAACTCTGCACACTTTCAGGAGATTAAACTCCACTTGCTTTTCCTTCTGGATGCCTCACGCCTCTCTTTTCCCTCCTCCCCCTAAAGGAGAGGGTGGTGGGGCACATAAACAAATGGCTCTAGAAGTTATTTTCTTGACCAGGAAAAAACTAAAAGATAAATTTTATTCTGCATTAGTTTTCCATACTTTGCTGCGACCAGGATTTACTGTGCTTTCTTTCTCCCTAGAAAAATAATGTCTGACTGATTAACATTTGTGACACACTTAAGTCAAAAAATGAAACAGAATGACAACTGTGTGTTATTCTGTAGGAACATCTACCCTGTAAAGAAGCACGGTGACCGTTTACCCATCAGCCAGGCCATCTCAGAGTTACCGGAAAGAGGAGCTCATTTCTTTGAGAGTCATCACTTTGGCCAAGTGAGTTATCTCTGCACCTGTTTTATCACCTGTAAAATGATAGGCCCTCGTGGGGTCGGGGTGAGTCACACAGTGCTGGCCCAGAACAATGCTGAGTGGCTGAGAGCCCATGCCATCACCCTCCCAGCACTGCCAAGACCACCACCGTCCTCCCGAATCTGCCTGGACGCCACCAGGGAGCTGCTGCAGGGAGTTACATGGAGGCGCAGATGCTGCCATCTTCATTCCAGAGTGATCCTGGCTCCCCAGGCATGCTGCAGGCGCAGCAGGTTAATGAGACAAAGCAGGAAAGGCAGACAGAGAGGTCACAAGTAAAGCTGGAAGATATCTGACAGGTCCAGAGAAACGGTCCCTTGTTTTCTCCCAAACATATTTAGAAGATGCAATTCTGACATTCTTCCCATACAGGGAGCCAGAAGTAGGACAGAAGGGAGCAATCTTTGGAAAGAGAAATCTTAAAGTTGCCCAGGCACAGAGAACTATCCATTATTTTAATTCCTGCCCCCTCATGTATTCACACATGAGAATCCTTGTGGAATCCAGAAGAGAAAAAAAAAGAGCTCTTTCTTCAGAAGAGCATCTTTTCGGACTCAGGGCAAGGACTGAGGGCTGACAGCCATACCCACCTCTCTCAGGGGCTGGTCAGGCGCTTTCTCATCAGCACGGAGATTCAGGATGTGGACCTCCTGTGGCAGCCCGGTGGTACCTCTGCTGGCACAGCCTGACAGGACGGTGAAGCTCTCCATCAAGGCCTGGACGGGGTGGGAGGCATTGACAGGCGACAGTTCACACTGGGCACTGGACTCTGGACCTGCTTGTGGAATCACAGACATAAAGCGTTCAGTGCCATTCTCCCTCAGAGAAGCGATTTTGAATAATCAAGCCAACCCACCAGAGAAGCCTTTACAAGTACACTGTTTCCAAAATAAAACAACAAAAATACCTAGCCTATTCTGCTGAAATTCCCACCCCTTACATTTCCTTGGGATGATTCTGCTGGATACTTGATTCTCTAAATGTCCATTTAGCTTCACAAATAATGAACATACTCCTCTGGGTGGAGGACACTCTCCATTTGACATTTGTGTTTAATTGTTCGTCTCTTGGAAAAAAAATCAGAGAAAATCAGAAGAAATTGCTTAAAGGCCCAATCGTATTTATGAAAAAAAAAAAAAAAAACCTAAAAATCCCTGAAATGTCAAGAATTGCATTCTCAAAAAAGGGTATAAAACCCAGTCCATGCATTTTAAGAGCTTCCCTTTATTAAGGAAAGCAAAATAAAATTAAAGACGACACAAAAAAGGTTGGTCTGAATAGAGCCAAGCACCATACAGCACAGTTTGAGCAAGAGATCAGAAAAGTTCTCCCCCAAGAGGCAGGACCTGAGCAAAGCCCCACACAGAAAATGCAGAACCCTGCTCATAGGGGACGCCTGCCTTTTCATTCTTCTTTCCTCTAATCAGCCAAGTCTTAAATTTTATTTTTTTAATATTTTATTGAGAATCAAATATCAATGAGACACTTTCCAAGCTGATTAATAGAACATTTTCAATAATTAATACATTGCACATTGTTATCGTCTCAGCGGTCATCCACAGCACAAGAAGCAGCCAGGACATCCCATCCAAACACCACTACTAGAAATCCTTCCTCTCACCAAACCAAGCGAAAGCAGCCGTACATCTATCCTAACTATTCTGTATATACAAATACAAACTGGTCCTTCCTCTGTATCCCCCTTCTCCTGTTCAGTCCTGTCAGACACAGGTATTCTATTGGCATCTAAATATTATAGGTGCTTGAATTCAGTTAAACAATCCAACACAGTCCATAGTCCACAATAGTAGTGGGTTGTCCACAGAAGTTGTTGACTAGAGCCTTTTACAGTTCAGCATATTAATATGGCTTTACTTTATATATCTCGTTTTCATACTTCTCTGCTGGATGGTTAAGACCAAGATAAAGCAAGACCTATATAACAAGAAATGTAACTTTTATATCTGCCAACGTCAGCCAAGTCCCCTTAGGATTTATCCTGTAACCCTGTACTGCACTTTGTAGATCTTTTGTCAGTGTCAGCCATGAGGATGAGTCATGGCCAATGCTTGACCAATTTGCTCTCTGTGAAAGCCTGAGAGAATTTTTTTTCTCTCCATGTGACTCTCCCCAGGCACACTATAGATCATCAATCATATTCCTCTGTGGCTCTATAATCTCCTTGATCAGATAATTTGGGGCACAACTGAGTTACATGATGTTACAGTACAGGTTCTCCTATGTCCTCAGTCTTCACTGACCTTGAAAGGCTAGGGCCAAAATGCTAGTGAACCTTGTAGACCTTCCTTTTCTCTGATTTTTAGTCTGCAAACTTAAGTTGTTAACCCTCCAGAAGAGAAGCTTATTATTACCCTGCAACATATGCAGTTCGGTTTACCCTGTCTAAATATCGAACAACTTAGGCATAATGTGGAACAGGTATCTTCCATCAAGTATTGATGTGTTGAAATTTAAGTCCTTACAGAATATGAGGAAAAAAAATTTTTAAAGAGGAATAAACACATAGTTTTACACAGAAATTTAGAAATCTAAACATATACAGCATTGTAGCAGGACAGTCCTGTGACATTTTTTTTTCTTTTTCTTGTGTTTTTTAGTTTTTCATTTATTACCTATTTAAAAAAAGAAAAACAAAAAACAAACAAACAAACAAAAAAAAAAACCTTTTACCTGTGAGACAGTATGGTAATGATTGGTATGTCATGACAAGAAGTATGCACTTAGAAGACCAGAATGACAGGCATTCCAAGCGTGACCCTTCTATTACACATTGCTATCTTCAGTGTAGTTGTTTGGTTCACAGGTATCAGCATATATAGTTAGTCAGGTTAAGAATCCTACCAATTAACTGCTAGTTTCAAAAACCTGCTGATGTTTCTCAGGATCATTGTCTTGCCCATCTTGTGCATACAAGTGTATGGCTTTGTCCCTGTCCTGTTTCCCAGCTTTTCTCCTTATCCTCTCCTTGCTTTCCAGTCCTCAAGTTCTCGCTTTCCTTTTAGTTGTGTTATATGTTTCTATTTGTATTTCTTCTTTTGATTTCTTACACTAGGGAGACTATGTGATATTTACACATGTGGGTCTGGTTTATTTCACTTATGAGTATATCTTCAAGTGGCATCCACTTAAATATAAATGCTTCAAGTTTATCATTCTTTATAGCTAAGTAATACTCCATTGTATAAAAATACCACATCTTTTTCATACATTCCTCATGTGACGGGCATCTTGATTGTTTCCAAGATTTGGCTATCACAAGTTGTGCTGCTCTAAATGTAGGTACACATATGTCACTATGATATGACATTTTCAGTACCTCCAGGAAAATTCCCAGTAGGGGGATAGCTGGCTTGAATGGGATTGACAGTACTAGTTTCTTAAGGAGTCTCCACACTGATTTCCATAATGGTTGTACCAGCCTACATTCCCACCAGCAGTGGAGAAGGGTTCCCTTTTCCCCACAGCCTTTCCAACATTTGTTGTTGGTTGATTTGTTTATGATAGCCATTCTTTCTGGGGTGAGATGGTATCTCAGTGTTGTTTTGATTTGCATTTCACAGATGGCTAGTGATGTGGAGCATTTTTTCATATATTTATTTGCTTCTTTAATTTTGTCCTCTGAGAAGTGTGTGTTCATCTTAGATGCCCATTTCTGGACTGGGTCTTTAAATTTAGGGGCCCTAATGGTTTTTAGTTCTTTATAAATTCTAGAGAGCAGACCTTTGTAAGCCTTAAATTCTAAACCCACCCATTTCTATTTCCTTCCTTCCCCTAAGCAGTTAAGATCTCCCTCCACAGAACTCCAGGTCTCAAGCTCTCTAGCCCACCTTCTATACAAAGGAGGCCTTCCTATACAGGGTGCTCAAATGTGCAGTGGTTCCAAACATGAATGCCTATCCCTTTTATCTCGGTCTCTGGAGAACTGCTGGCCCAAGAAATAAAGCTCAAGCTTTTCACACGGCACTTGTGGCCTTCCATCCGCCCCTTCTCATCCTTCCAGCTGCATCCTTCCCAGCCTACTTTAGGAATGGCAACTTGCACAAAGATCTCCAAACATTCCACGACTCAATTCCTTGTCTTTATTCAAGCCTGTCTCAAATTCATCTTTCTTTCTAATTCTACCTCCGTGACAAGCATCCCAAGCAGAAGGAGGCACTTTTTTCTTCCGTCCTTCCCATAATTTCTCTGCCATCTGTTTCACTTACACTAGTGGCCACAGTGGCATACATCTGTCTTTGACAACTGACTGTGACCTCCTGAGGGCTGTAGAAGTTACTCATCTTTGTATCTTCAGAGTCCTATTTAGTGCATGTTATTTAAGAGATATTCAAAAAGTACTGGTTAAATGAATAAATAAATCACTATGTTTCTCTTAATGCTTCCTCTCTGATCAATGAGTAGGGCATCATTCTGCAGACTAGAGTTGGTTTTAAGGAATGAATTTGAGAAACAGGTTGCTATGGTGATGTGAGGTACAACCCCATGACCACATGGAGGGAGACATTCAGGAGAAAGGAGGAAGGGACACTGAAGGGGCCCAGGGACTGCCCCCCCCCCCCGCCACCATGATGTGTTCACTACTTTAAACTAAAGGACCTTGGAGAGTAGAAGATGCTAGAAGAAGCTTCCCTCTGAACTCTCCTTGACTGCTTAAGCTCTGGAAGCAAGCAAGAAGCAATGAGCCCTGCTCCCTTCCCCAAATTTTCATTCACTGAACTCATACTGCAGGAAGAGAGAATGAAGTCCATCAGTACACTTGCACAAGCCTTTCTCATTCACCACTGTCTTCTGTTTTGGTTCTAGTTAATATTCCAGAGAGAATCATTTACAAACCACTGTCTGTTCTGCAGATAAAAACAAAACAAAACATAGTCTCAGGTGTCTATACATTCTCCAAACCCACCAGCATCCAGTGAAAATCATTTTCAAGCCCACATTCCCTGACTGCCTGCCACAGGAGGATATCTCCCGGGCTTTTCCTTCTGCTGTCATTTTTCCCCTTTTGCAGGTTAATAGTTCACATTGCTTTTCTCCTATTTAATTTGATTATGTCAGCCTATTCCCATTAACCTGCAGAGAGCAGAGAGGAAATATCCCTTCATTCTTGTACAGTAATACCTCATCGTCTCACGCCTGTGGAAGCGTGGTGCTACTGGTCCAGTTCAATAGTTAAACATTCTGAAACTTGAACCCACTAAAGCAACCTTCCAAAAATGGAGCCTGAACAAAAAGCTCTGGACATTACAGAAATTCAAATTAAAACAACACTGAGGTTCCATCTTACTGCAGAAAGAATGGTTATTGTCAACAAACCAAATAACAGTAAGCATAGTGTTGGTGAGCCTGTGCAGGAGATGCAATCCTTCCCTGTTGTTGATGGGATATAAACCAGCACAACCACTAAAGAAATCAGTATGAAGGCTGACCAGATAGCTCAGCAGATAAAGCACCTGCTTAGGCAGACACAGGGGCCAGGAGTTCAATCCCCAGCCTGCTGTGCGAGCTCCACCCGTGGGGTGCACTGGGTCAGAGATTGAGATTAGGCATGGTGGTGCATGCCTGTAATCCCAGTGCTGGATAGGCTGAAAAACAGGAGAATCACTATGAATCCAATCTAGTAATGAGACCCTGTAGACCCTACACTAAATACTTTAAAAAAAAAAAAAAAAAAGAAATCAGTATGGCGAATCCTCAAAAAACTAAGATAGAAATTATATTTGATCTACCTATTCCAAATACATCTAGTATTGTCCCAAA